GAAAAAAAAAAAAAAAAAAAAAAAAAGGAATCAAGGGGACATGAAAAACTGTCTCTATAAGAAAGACTTACCTTGGAGGTGTGGATGACTCTATTATATTAGTTACAGGCTTCGGCCTGCAGCCACCAAGCAGCACTGCAGATGAAGCTTTCTCAGTGGCTGTAGCATTTGTATTCATAGAACTTAAAATTCCAGGGCCCTTGATTCCAGTTCTAGATCCTTCATCAGCAGCTGACTGAGAGATGAATGAAGGACCAGCATTGGTATCCCTAATCTTGCTCGAAGCCATTTGGTGCACAAAAGGCGCCAATTGCCCTCCACGCGGCGGATGCTGCATGGATGGGCCAACATTCATGAGAATGGATCGCTCCCACTTATTCGCATCAATCTTAGTGCTTGTGGGAGGCTGAAATATCTGGGAAGAAGATGGCTTCATTGACTGCATACCAAGTAACACTTCATCGTCATTGGGTCTCCTAGACCTCTCTCCTCCAGCTGCATTCCGAAGGACCTGTGTAAAATCAGAACTCAAGATATCAAATGAAAGAAGACAAAAGCAAAGGTGTTTTTCCTTTTTTGTCAATGAGAACATTGGAGAAGAATATTTAAGCGACGATTCAAAGCAACCTTCATCAAATGTGAGTTTTGAAAGGAATCAGGGACCATTTGGAAGGCATCTCTGGAGGAACCCATAAAAGTGGAATCAGAATTACTTCTCTTGCTTCCCACTAATCTGTTACTTATCTCAGTGCCAGAAAAATCACTCCTCGGGCCATAGAATGGAACTCCCTCTAGATGATTTCCTACCTGTTTCTCTACCAAATTGATGAGGGGAAAAACATTACATTCATAGAAACCAAAACCCTTAAAAGTTAATAGAAACTTCCATAAATAGTTTGCATTTTCAACTATAAAAAAAATCCACTAAGAATGGCAATTTATAGATGAAAAAGGTAAGAAAAGAAAATAGAGACAACACAACAACCATAACTGTGATTAAATCCTAAAACCCCATACCATCATTATTGCCCAATGCACAAATGTTGACTGAACATAACAGTTTTCTACTGAAAACCAAAGAAAATTTCAGCATATAAAATTGTATTGTAGAAGAGAGAAACGAAGAATCAAGTCAAAGACCCAACAGCAAAACAAAAGAGACAGCTGAAAAACCCTACAACATACTCAGACACCAGAAGAAAAAGGAAAACCCACAAACTAAAAACACACTAGCTGATAAAGAGTTAAAGCCGTTAGAGAACGAAGAAACAAAAGCTCAAGAGAAAAAAAAAGGGGTAAAGAAAACATATCACCTATGAAGGAAACAAAGACAACAGAAGCAACTTAACCCAACACTTACCTCACTCACTGAACTAATCCATCAGAAAGGTACCCCACAAAACCAAAAGAGAAAGAGATGGTAGAGAACATCACTGGATGAGATTCAATGCTAAATTGCTAACCAAAGCAAAGCTTCAAGGGCAAAGGGTCATAATAATAATAATAATAATGCCCCTTAAAAAAAATCATTTTTTTATAAATTTTTTGCCTTTTTATTCTTTTGATTACAAAAAACTGAAAAGTGAAAGAGCAAAGGGGTTGAAGTAAAGTAGCATAGCACAGGAACATGAGTGAACTGACCGGAAGCGATGTCAGAGGTGGAGGAGAAGGGGCCACGTGCTCCGGCGGAGGAGGCGGAAGCGGAGGGCTCCGGCAGCCTGACATCGGCGGTTTTGGGGGAATCAGCGGCGGACTTCATGCCGAGAAAGTCATGGAGCACGAATTGATGGTTGGAAGTGTTGTTGGCATTGTGAGGCATGGCCATTCTCAGCATCGCCATGACAAAGCCATCATCTGAGCGACGCAGAGAGAGAGAGAGAAATAAAAAAGCAAAAGGTTCTTTGTTTGTTGGCAATTGTTCATTTTTATGGGCACATGTCTGTCTCTGTTATGCTGTCCTGTGTGTGTGGGTATATATGTAATGTTGTTGTTGTTGTTGGTGTTAATGTAATGATGATAAACTTGTTGTGACTTTTGTCAGATTTTGTTCTTCCTTTCTTGGAGAGAGAAATGATTAATCTAAGTCTAACTAAAACTAAACTAATCATGGTCCAATTTGGGTTTGGTTGGGTTGGGGAGTTACTTGGATCTCTTTACGTTACATTCTATTTCTATCTCTTCTTTATTGCTAACTGCACTCTGCACTTCTTATTTTCTAATCATCCATTATTTTTTATATTATGTTTTCTAATAATTTCAAGCGTGTGATTTTAGTGATAGAAATTGATTCACACTTAAATAAAATAAAAGGTTCAAATTTCATTTTTTAAAGTGTCTCTAACATAACAAGAAAATTAATCACTATTATCAGCGATGAATATTTCAAAGAAAAAAAAAGTATTATGTCGCCTAATCTAAATATATGCCTTTCTTTTTTTCCCAACTTGGAACTTTTAATTTAGTTCGATTCAAGCCACGTAAGACTATTTTAGCCTCAAAAATATCTTCTTCTTTTTCATATTTGAACTTGGAGCTTCCCTCATCTCATAAGACTTATAGTCTGTTTGCTTTTACGTTTGAAAACTTGGACGTGATTTTGATAAGCAACTATTAGTTGTTTTTGCTGCGTTAAAAATAGGGAAAAATGTGGATCCCAAACATATTACCAAACACGCACTTAGATACAGTTTTTTAAGATATATTTAGGTTTTTTTTTAATCAGAATCGGAGAGTCTATATTTAATACAAACTTCATTGATATATACTTATATGATTAAACTTAAATTTTGATTGAAAAATAATATTAATTATATTTAAATAACTGTAATTATGTTTTGTCGAAATATTTATTCTCATATTTATTAGAATTTTATAAGAATACAAAAAGATATTTCTTTATGTGTTTTATTGTCAATAATGTAAAACTTTCATATTTTACATGTTTCTTATTCCTATGATAAATGATGGGTATCAATGGTGGCTTTGAGCACAGCGTAGTGGGACAACCGTCCAAAACCCTATTGTTGGAAAGACAAAAAAATTATTTAATTTATATAATATAAATATATATATATATATATATATATAAGGAGGGTTCAAATGACACTGGTGTAACTTTTACTAAGTGTTACACCGCTTAATAACTTTATATTAAATGCGAATTTTGAAAATCTAACCGTTAGATTGAAAATTCATATCTCTTAGATCATATATGTCAAATTTTGTTAAAATTGAACAACAACTTGAAAGTAATCAAAGTGTTCATATTTTAGTATATTTTGAAATGTATATATTACGTCAATTTTGTTTTATGAGAATGAAGTATCAAATCATCTTATATTAATATAAAATTTGATATATACGATCTAAGAGATATGAACTTTCAATCTAACGGTTGGATTTTCAAAATTCACATTTAATATAAAGTTATTGAATGGTGTAACACTTATTAAAAGTTACACCGGTGTCGTTTGAACCCTCCTATATATATATATAATTAAATTATATAAAAATATATTAGAGAAAATAAATTAATTGTGAAAAATTAATGAATAATTATTTTCCTACTAGCTAACAAAAATATACCCATAATTTTAGGAAAATAAATTAATAATATTAAATATAAAGATAAAAGTGTAATATATTATTTTTTTTCTCTCAATATAAATTTTTATAAGTGTTAATTTGAGATCATAAATTAGGATTATTTTTAACTTTCTCTTCTTCATCTTTAATTTCTTTAATTTTTTTATTTTTTAAATCATGATTTATCTTATTTTTCTGAATTTTGAAATCAAATTATCAATATTCATCTCTCCACTATAAATTTTTTTTGTGATATATCACCGTTATTAATTGATATATGTAATGATTTCTAAAAATAACTCATTATTCCGTATATATTTTTCATTTCACATTTCTTCACTAATTTTCACTTTTTATTAAATAAAAAAATCTAAATTTAATAATGCTAAACAAACATATTAATGAAAATAGCATTTATGGGTATGGTACTCCTGGAAATGAGATTTTCAAGAATACAATTATATCTCAAAACAAATATCCCTTTATAAGTATTAAACTTCATTCACCTAACATCTCTATAAATAGGTTTCACCTATATTTTCACATTTTTACATTTTATCAATAAATATGGATTAAATATATTTTAAGTTTTCAGCTTTTGTTAAATTTTTTTAATTCTTAAACAATCTTTATTTAATTTTATTTTCTAAAAATTTTCTTCATGAACAAAAGATCATGACACGAAAGACAAAATTTTTTTTATCGATATACTGACTTTAAAAGTTATTATTTTTTATTTTAAAATAGTTAATTTAATTTTTTTATTAAGAAAATTAAAATAATCATAAAATATTATCATTAAAGACTAAAAATATATTATTTAAATTAAGGTACAAAAATAATTACTTTTTTATAAACAAAAAACTAAACGCAATTTAAAAAAATATATATATTTAAACCATTTTTTAAAAAGAATGGTCGGTAAAAGGAAAATGAAAAATGTTCAAGTAGGTTTCACATTTTTTTATACTTATTTTATAAGTCCTACATACAAACAAATGAAGCATCAAAACTAATAGAATAATTTACCATATATTATTAATAATAACAAATTTAAAAATATTTTTTCTTTTCTTTTTTATATAATGATTATAACCAAAGTAAATAACATTTTTTTCTTCCTTCATCATTTTATTTTATTTTGTTGAATTCCTTGCCATTATCATTTACGATAAAATCAAAAGGTTCTCTTTTATCTAATATTTATTGGTTATTAATTATTTTTTACTTTTTTACTAAATGTAATGAGATAAATAAATTATCCAACAATGTTAGCACCATTGAAAAATAATTGAATTAAAATATATCAATAATATGAACATTGTTATTATCAATCGACACATATAAACAGTGATTTGGTTTGTTTTTAAAAACTTAAAATATCAATGGGCACTGAGATTGGAGGAAAAATGCTTGTAGAAGTAGAACCAAGTGGCTAATAATTTATGTGTATATATATGATAAATTGGTAGAGAGATATATATGAACTATTTATTGCATTGTAGTTGCATCAGGCTGAGTTGAGATGAATGCAGAAAGAAAGGTATTATACTATAGTTCACAATCAATAATAATATATGTATTCAATATAAAAATATCATTATTGAAATGTGTTACTAAAAAGTCAAGGTTTATATGTGACATCACTAACATCTTTATTGCACACACGAACGATGATATAATGAGATAATGATAGCAGGCCACTAACATCTTTTGGAAAATCATATTTCTCTCCCACTCCCTCTTTACACACCAATTTACAAAATTAATACTTCCTCCTCCCCACAATAAATCTCGTGGGTAAGAAAGAAATTTTAGTTTAAAAATAATTTTTATTTTAAATTTTTAATATAATATTATGATGTTAATTATAAGTAATAAATTAAAGAAAAAAATTAATTATAAACGAAAATCATTAATTTTAAAATTATTTAAGATTAATTTTTTATATCTTTTATTTATTGTTAATTTTATTTTTTATGTATTCACTTATAACTAACATTAACTATAACAATAATTTAAAGAAAATAATATATTTGAAATAAATTTAAATTTATAATAAAATCATTTTCATTATTTATTTTTATGTTAATTACAATAAGCATCGAAGTTAATATTAATTACTAATTTTTTATTTATATTTTTAATATTATTCTTTTAAAAATTTGTCGTTGCGTTACATTATTTTTAGTAAATATGACTAATAATAAGATTAGTTTTGTCAAATTATTATTCTTTTTTTTTATTAATTAGTTTTTCTTACCTTGCTTAAAAGAAACCTAAGATAACAGTTAAAAATGTTTTGCAAAATTAAAATTGACTCAATCCCACGTTTAAAGATGATATACAAATAAATAGTTCACAAATTATGACTATTAAAAAAATTTAAGTGAACAAAAGAATTTATTAAACAATTTTAATAATATTCTTTTAAAAATATTTCGTTGTGTTACATTATTTTTTAGTAAATATGATTAATAATAAGATTAGTTTTGTCAAATTATTATTCTCTTTTTTTATTAATTAGTTTTTCTTACCTTGCTTAAAAAAACTTAAGATAACAGTTAAAAATGTTTTGTAAAATTAAAATTGACTCAATCCCACGTTTAAAGATGATATACAGATAAATAGTTCACAAATTAGGACTATTAAAAAAATTCAAGTGAACAAAAAAATTTATTAAACAAGAGTGTATGTGCGTGCATGTATGTGTACATGCATGTGCGTGTGCGTGTGTATGCTTGCGCGCGTGTGTGCACGTGTGTGTAAGAAATAAAGACTCTTTTTCAATAATCACACACATATTAATAAGATATTATTAAAGTTTGTTTGAATACAAATTATTAAACATTTTACATAAGATCCCAAATATACATGTGAATTATATTAAGAATGTGGGAAAGAAAACAACTATTTGGAAAAGATAATTTCTTTGGTTTGAAAAAATGACAAATATCATACAGATGAGTGAGATTGGGGAATCCAAGAGAATGAGTTTTTTCTTTTTTAATAATATTAGGATGAAGGGTGTCCTAATCTAAGGTACCAGACATTATAAATTGATATATTTTGTGGTGTGGACATTTACTTGGTATTTTGTTTGAGGCAGAATCATCACATAAGCCATCATGTGCTTTAGTAGTACAAATGATCTTCAGGGTTATCTATTTAGATGGGTCGTTAATGAATTCAAGATTATGATATTATTTTAAAATGTGAAGTGTTATTTTAAGATATATTTTAAGTATATATCATGATTATAAGATTGAGGTTACGTACGATGAATTTGTTTAGTCGTGCAGTGATACATATGAGGTCATCTGAACCATGAAATGAACTTCAGTTGCATACATCATTGTATTTGTGTTGGCACTTGCTAATGTATATTGAAGTCATTCTCATGCTTTCAAAT